GGGGGTGGGGGTGGGGGGAGGAGGACGAGGAGCAGGGCGGCCCATGCAGCTGCCAGCCCCGTAGGCCAGTGAGTGCCCAAGGTCCTGTACTTCCCTGGGGGGAGAAATCTATGCAGACTAGAGACAAAGGAACAGGAGACAGACAGTCACGTTCTCTTACATTGCGGATATTTTATCCCTCTCTCTCACAGCAGCAACTTTAATAAATAAGTATGACGCCTGCAGCGTTTTATCTGGAACCCGGCGCCGCTCCGGCGGGCTGACGCACGCCCGTGTACAAAGCGATCTTCGCAGAGCATGGTGAACAGTCGGGGTTTGGGGACACAGGCTTTTAAAATCTAAGTCAGCGCCCCCCCACCCCCGCCCCCGCCCCAGCTCCTATAGACCAAAAATACCTCTGTCTCCAACTACATAAAGGTTGTGAGTAGCAAACTTGTAAAAAGGAAGTGTACAAAAGGAACGTCCATAAACACATTTGCACCCTGTAGACGATGTGCCACCCTCTGAGACTGGCCGACGGTCAGCTACGGCAGATTGTCGGCGTCTGCCATATGCACTGGGGTCGATGGTTTGTGTGGTTTTCCACAGAGAGCTTCTCGTTTCCTTGGACAGCACTTGCTGACGGCCTTCGTGTTTAATGATTAGTTGGTGGTACGAAACTTGCTGATGGTCTTTGTGACTAAGAAGCCAGCTGCATTTCCTGGCATGTAGGCAAGTAACATTTGATTGTCGCGACGTAGCAGTTCTGAGACAATAAATACAAGCAGATCGGATGCATTTCCTCATTGTATCAAGTAACTCCAGTTTAATACAATTTAGTGCACTTCAGTATCTCATTCACAGTTTGACTTCTGTCCAAATACTTACGCAAGGAAAAGTTAAGAAATGAACAAGTTTACGAGAAAAGAAAACTCCAGGTGAACTTGTCATTTACAAAGCTTAAAAATTTAAAGCCATCCAATTGTCCTGGAAAAGAATGCGTGGCTGCCGCTGGGGCTGACTGGGGTTAGCTTCCCCGGTACTTCCCGGGTTCCCTGAAATGATCTTGTCCTTGAATTTCCCGAGTGGTTTGTGAGAAGGCCGCCATGTTCACCGAATCAGCTGGTGGCAACCACTTGTGCTAAAACCCGATCCACAGTGTCCACCCCCTCCAACAAGGAGAACCCAGTGTGACACCTTCTACCCAGACACTGTCCCTGTGTTTCTGCGTCCTGGCCCTGTTGTGCAAGAATGTGAAACCCGGATGTTCGCATGCACCCTGGCAGCCCCAAGCAGGGTTTGGGACAAAGCCTGGCCCAGGCCCAGTGGGTGGTATGGCCGGGAGTGGGGTTGGAGGACCCAGGCCTGGGCATTCGGAGAGGCTGGCCTTCGCTTTGTGAGCTAACTCGCTAGACAAAGGGGCAGGCACGTGGGCCAGGGACGTGCTGTCTCCAGAGAGAAGGCAGGCGGGCACGGCGGGCCCAACTCTTTCAGTCCTGAGCCTGGTGACAGGGCAGGAGAGTTGGAAGCCAACTCACACCATTGGATGCTAAGTGCTGCATGCTGGGGGGAGCATGCACTAGTGGTGAGAAGTTCGCAGCATGAGTTCACGCTCGGGGTTGAACGATTCAGCTGCAAGTCAGCTGGGCTGCAAGATTCTATTTGGCTTATCCTATAGGTGCCTCGGGCAGAGACAAAGCAACATGCAGAGAGTTACTCATTCTTCACCCCAAATCTGACATAATCATGAGTCACGTGGGTGTGGACGGCCTGGCGACAGCTCCCGAACACACGCACCTGCGCCCACCGCTTTCCTTCAGACCGACGCCACGCAGTGACTGAGCGAACGCGAGGAAGGTCCTCCCGCCTCGGTGCACAGGCGGCGACAGGGACAAGGCAGACTCAGAATTAATCAGTGACCACACCTGCATTCGTGTTTGTTTGTTTTACAAGAATGTGCTGTGTACATTGTTGCTTTGTTACTACTTAGTGGTTTCTATGTTCAGAGCTCACTGCATCAACCAGATCCTGTGCTTCTTGAGGACAGGGCCTGCGAAGCACCTCAGACAGGGCCGTGCGTTTAGCATGCTGCCACCGAGCACTGGGCGACCAGTGCTGCTTCTTGGGGTTAAAAATCCTCAGTGGGGAGCGATTCCACACGCTCCACCAGGCCTGTTTGGAGAAAAAGGGGGCGCACAGAAAGAGAAAAGTCTATGACCCGCTGTCCCTCTGGTGGGCCAAGCCTTCCCCAGCATCTGCTCGCTTGCAAGCAGCGTGCACAGTCACCGCGCACCATGCCATCTGAAAGACCCCGCAGAGGGGAGCCAGAAAGTCCCCAGGTGCCGGTGGCTGCTACAAAGTCACCATGGAAATATCACAGTCACCTTAGAAGCCCCCGGAACTCCCCAGAGGGGGCCCGGAGAACTGCAGCCTTCTCCCCAGCTAGACACAGGAGCTAGCCCCACGAGCCAAACCCCACACACTGGGCACGGCCAAGATTCCCGGAGGTGGAAGATGACAAAGGGCTCGGAACCTGGCACCTGAAAGTGGGGCCTTGCCCTGAGCTGAGAAACACGCAGCCAGTGAATCCCCACCCCACACACACACCCCCTCCCCCGCAGGATCAGCAGGCTGGCTCCAGAAGCATGCTACTGGCCACAGAGCCTGCCCCGGCGGGGAGGGCCAGCACACACCGCCCAGCCCTAGACTGACCAAGAGCAAGTGTAGAGGGTGCCCCCAAGGCCCACAGCGCCTGCAGGCAGCAGCAGCAACCAGCACGGCCTGTTCCGACGCTCAGAACATGAATTGGACATGACAACTCCAGCAACAGATGGAGCTCAGAGAGTGGGTGTGAAGGCAAAGAATAAAGAAAAGCACTACTCTGCAATTTATTAATTTGTAAAAAACTAAGAGCTCCCCTCCCCCTTTTCTTCTGAAGTCAATGGAAGGCAAGAGGCACCTTCTGAAAAACAAAAACAAAAACAAAAAAAACCCCTGAAACATTCGTGCTGTAGTTTTTATTGCTCCCAAAGGGCTTAGGGTGCGATGCGCGAGCTGCTCTGGGTTAAATCAGAAGGAATCGCTGAGATGTGAAACCTGCGCCCTGGTGCTGGTCTCTGCTTACAGAGGAGTCTGTACTGCTCGTTAACTCCATGTAGAACTCGCACATTGTGTATCAGTTTCCAGCGGAAGGAACTTATCTTGGAAACCAGGACGAGTAACTAACTAAGCGGTAAAAGATCTAAATTTGCTTTTTTTTTTTTTTCCTAATGGCTCTGCCTTGGGGGCACCCTCCCCCTTCCCTGTCTCGTTGAAAACGTTTTAGGTATCGGCGACGTGGCGAATGACACCCATGAACGCCCATAAAAACAGACGAGCAGCGCGCCATGCGCAGACAAATCCACTCCAAAGCGGCCACTCGGCCCAGAGGGAGCAGAGGGATGTGCTTTAAGACAGAGGCGAGAACGCCCCTGTCACCAAACCTAAAATTCAGGAGCGTGTCACTGTTATGAAGAATTGATGCCATCCTGATAAATCTTCCCAAAATACACACTTAGGGCCAACACATTATTTTTTTTCCAATATAGTTTCTAATGTTTTTCATGTCTCTTCCCTCCATTTGTTTTTTCTAGAAAATCCAACCCGCCTCTGTTCAGAATGCTGGTTACAGTGTATCAGAGAGAACACCCGTTATTTTCTTTCCCTTGCTAAAAAAAAAAAAAAAAAAAAAGATGAGGGGAATGTCACTTTAAAAAACCAACTTGAAAGTGCAAGAAGGAAGCCCAGTGCAGGTGGGTGGGAGTGGAGTAACTGAGCTGAGCCCCGCCAGGAGGCGGGGAGGCAGGGAGCCCCTCCGCCCCACTCCTCCGTCTGCCCAGCTGCTCTCAGCCCGGCCTTGGTGCACTGAACCATCGCTTTCAGATCAGACGCCTCCCTCTAGGGCCACGCCTACAAAGGAGGCTGAGAGGACAGGCCAATCACAGGCTGTTGGGACCCTGGGGAGACACTCTGCTGGGCACCTGTGGGTGTGGGCCCCGCCAGGCCGGGAAGCCGCCCACCTGGCCCTCCCCAGGGACACTTGTGCCTGCTCAGAGCAGGGAGGGTGACACTGGGGGGAGACAGGCTCACCCCCTCTCATTTTCATCAGGGCCTTGAGAGCCACCGAAAGACCCACCGTAAAAACAAAATCCCTGAAAGCCAACAAGCTCTGCGTTAGCAGCCTCCAACCACCTTTAGAAGAGATTGGGTGGCGACCCCGCTTTTAAAGCAGCCCTCACAGGTCCTGGGGGCCATGGGGCAAAGGTCTCCCTCCAGCACACTCAGCACCTCTGGGCCCTGGGCTCCCGGTCATGGGGGGAGAGGACACCAGCCCAGGGTGGCCTCCTCCCCAGCACCCAGCAGAGGGACTCTGTCCAAAGGCTGCAGGGAGAAAGGGCCAGAGGAGCTCTGGGTGCGGGAAGAACGCTGCATGTCAGCGAGTCACCGGGCACCTCCACGCAGGGGTAGGTAGTAACCTGCACAGCCCGTGCGTGCCGCCAGCCCGGCGCGGGCACCCAGTTCCTCTGACACCCCGTGTGTGCTCGTTGACCAGAGAACTCTCTCAGCAGCGTCCCCGCCCCCACTAGCTCCCCAGCCCCGCTGTCTGGAAGTGCAGGTGTTGGCTGTGCCTTGGGGGGCCAGAGACCCTGTGACATTCGTTCCCAGGAGCACTGGGGGGTCCTGAAGAGCGTTTGCTGGGGGTGCTGGGGAGGAGCTGAGGGGCCAGGGCGAGTTCCCGAAATCACGGGTAAAAGCAAAAAACAGGACATAACGTTAAGAAGAGAAAGCATTGGAGGCTCTCTCTGGCCGGCGGAGTCCTTGAGAGATGACGCTGGGTGAGACCCGGTGCCCCGGGAGCCGCCTCCCCAGAGCGGACGCCGCCACCCCCCACCCTGCCCTCCCGGCTCATCTCCCGCGGCGACGGCGGCGGCAGGCAGGCCCTGCTGCGGGCTGCGGCCGTCTCCATCCGGCAGGCCTTCCGATCTCTTTACTCTTGGCTCAAGTTTATTGGTTAATATTAGTCACCAGTTAATAAGAAAAATAGTTTCTAAGTGTCTTTTTTTCCTCTCCGTACGTGTTGTTCTGTTTTTAATTGAGTTAATCGGATACCACCGTCAGGTTACGTGTGTTCAATCACAGCCATTAATTACTCCTTTTTCTTAAATTCTTGGTTTCCGTAGCTGGAGCCTTTCTCTATTTCAGTTACTCCTATTAGTCGGCGGACTCCAAAGGAAGCTTTAAAACAGGAGAAAGGTGAGGTTAGACAGGTTAGCTGGGGACACCGTTCCTGGGGGGCCCATGTGGGGGACAGGCAGGCCCACTCCCGCTCCTCCCTCTGCCCCACGCGGGCCTGGGCGGCCTGTCCCCACGGAGCAGGCGGCTTCTACAGCAGAGTGGCCAGAGCCCACTCTCTGAGGCCCAGGAGGCCCTGCCTGGACCCTCGGCTCCTTGTCACCTCCCAGGCTGCCGTGATCGTCTCCGGGCCTGGGTCCCTCTGCAGGGACACAGCAGGCCCCGGCCCCAACCCGTGAGGTCACGCGCATCCCTTACCTGCCCCAACGAAGCCCAGGAACGTCAGGATCAGGAGGGGAGAGCCGCTGGCAAAGACGCCCAAGACGAAGCTGAACAGAGGGGACAGGAGAACCGTGGCCCAGAAGAGGAAGTTCAGCAGCGTCCACGGCCGTCGGGCTGGCTTGAACTGCTCCCCCGGAAACACGCCCTTCTGGTTGTACGCCTCCTGCAGGGCATCCTGCGCGGGTCCAGAAGAAAGGCAGTGTCTTTGCACGCTGTCCTCCTCACAGAGGGACAGCTGTGCTGACAGGGAAACACGGCCCGACCTGTGAAGGGCCACGGAGAGGGGCGAACCGTGCGCTGCGGGTGGGAGAGGAAGCCGGCATGGCCTGCGCGGAGCGCCTTGGCTGCCTGTACCACCGAAACGCGTAAAAACACAACCCTCTTGACCTGGAACGTCCCCCAGGAAAATGATGAGACTGTGCCTGGCACAGGACGGGCACTGCGACCCAGTGACCGACCGGGTGTGCGCGCCAGGCCCCTCGCCCTCTCCCCCTGCGTGTCAAGGGCAGGGGTGCCAGTGCCGAGGGTCCAGCGGCCGGCTGGGGCATGGTCCTGGCATCGCCCCGTGCTGGCTCTGTCACCACACAAACTCACTTTGCCCCTCCTTCCCGTAGGCGAATGACAGGAGGGAGGAGCCGGCGGAGACACAGGGAGATGACACGGACAGGGCTTTGGGGGCAGTGGCGCGGGGACTCGCTCTGCACACTGAGCGCAGGCTGGCTGAGAAAGGGGGCGCCCAGCAGGACGGACTTCTCCGCAGCCACCGCACAGCACGTGTTGAGAGGAGGTGTGCCGTGGCATTTGAGGTGCCGTGGGGTTCCACGTGTGCAAAAAAATATGCATGGCCACGTATCTGTACGGGACCACGGGGAGTACGGTGTTGTCTGTTCTTATTTTCTTTCTTCCACAGCTGTGTTTTGTGTTGTATAAAAATGCAAGCGGGGGCCTGACAAACACCCGGCCTCAGCCCCATGCAACTCGTAGATGGCCGCCCTCCACCACAGGAGGCCTTGAGAGGCCAGGGCACCCTTGACCTTCAGGCGCATGCACACCCCTCGGGGCGACTGCAAGCCCCTGCCCTGCGTGGTCCTGGCATGTCCCTGCCATGTTCGAGCCCACTGGGCCACCTCCACTCCGACCGCCCAACCCGGAGCACAAGGGTCCTGTCTCCGGCTCCCTCGTCCCTCGAGTGTTTACGGCCGGTGGCCGTCAGGGTGAACCAGGGCCTGAGATGGCGGCACGGACAGAAGGCGGGGCCTTTCCACGCCTCCCCCTGCCCTTTCTGAGCTAGGAACCGCATTTCAGGTCGCAATCTAGCGTCCACGTGCGCAAGGGATTTCGGGAGGACACGATGCTCGCCCTTGGCACAGGGGGTGTCGTACGCGTTTCGGCTCTATGCCGGGCCGCCCGACCCGCAGAAATGATCCTGTGGCGCTGCTTCTCCAGTATGATGTCCTTTCTCCTCGTCGTCCCGACTCCCTCACCTGAACCTCTGCTGAAGATGCTTATTCCGGAAGGCTAGAGAAACAGAAGCTGCTCAGTTTGCTGTAGCCTGGGCTTGCCCAGACCACGCGCCTCCCCGTTTCCAGCACCTGTCTCTCCCCGCCCCCAAAGCCAGCCCCATGCAGGGGGGGCTCCCGGCTCTGTTATCCTGGGGTCAGCGTGCGCACTACACAGGGCGGGGCAGAAGTAGGTTTCCAGTAGTGAGTACACAAAGCACAGTTCATTCTTGTATCACTTATTCATTGCTGGATATGAACAGCTGTAAACTTACTCTGCCCCCACCCAGGTCTGTGATGGTGATGTGGGTGGCCAGGAAGCAAGAACCCCCCGGCTGCCAGGACTTGGTCCCATTCCCCCCACCCCCACACCTGTGACAGGCAGTCACTCCTCAACTCGGCAGCAGGTGTGATGGACCGTGTCCAGGCCAGAGGCCCAGGGACCTGGGGACTTCCAGCCTGGCCCCCCAGAGGATGGTCCCTTTCTTCTCAGGACCTTAGTTTCTACATCTGTGAAAGGGGAGACTGTAGCTAGCTGGTAATCGCCAAAGACATAAGGCATCGTGGCTCTCGGAAGCTCCCAGTCTGGTCGCTGCAGGGTCTTTGCATCTTTCCTGGCTGGGGGCAGCGGGGCCGCAGGTCACCCAGACCCTCTATTCACAGGATGGGGGAGGGGCATCTCAGGCTCAGCTGGGGGACATAACCCGCGTCTTTGCGTCTCTGACAGACACGCTCCCACGTGCGCCCGCCCCACCAAAGTGGGACACGCGCTAATATCACAGAGAGGAAGGCCATGCAGCATCTGAAAGGGGTGAATTCAACCCCCCTAGGTCACTGTCGACAGATACAAAAAACAGCGGTGACAGGCAAAAAGAATAACGCAGAAGAACACCACAGCATGGTGTCCCCAGAGTAAACTGAAAAAAAACAAAAAAAAACAAAAAAAAAACCCAAAACTGAAAACACTATGTATGTTATATAATTCAGTATTCTAGAATAGCATAGCAGATAGTATAAGAATACTCAAATCCCTTGGCTAGGTCAAAACTTGTCCTTTGATGCACTCGCGGGGGATCATTTCAGGAAGTGAACCGTCTAAGGGACGAGGCCCTGCGTCCTGTCCCCTGCGGAAGTTGGAGGTCGCCCCGCTCCAGACCCGGGCTTCGGTTCCCAGGCGCGGCTTCGCTCTCCCCCCTCCCCCAGGCCCCCGCCCCCAACAGGCGCATGCGCGCGTAACAGTGATGCCCGGAGAGGTGCTCGCTTCCCACTTCTCCGACCACAAGTGACTTTACCTTCCCCCTCCCACAGGCGCATGCGCGTGAGTAATGCCCAGAGAACTGCTCGCTTCCCAGTTCTCTGTCCACACGCGGCTTTACCCCCCGCCACCTCCCACAGGCGCATGCGCATAACAGTGACGCCTGGGGCGCTGCACGCTTCCCAGTTCTCCGTGAGAGTCACGGCGCATACACACTGCAGCCTGCTTTTCTCACTCAATTTTCTCCAGGTTCACTTACGTGGACAATGCGTAGTTCGTTTATTTTAACTGAATCATAGCAAACGAATATATAAATGCAGCGCGTCTACTTCCTGATGCACTTTTAGATTATTCCTCATTTCCTGCCGAACCAATCCTGCCTCTTCGTGTACTGCGTCTGGAACTCGTAAACCTGACTGAGCTTCAGAGATGCGCACACCCGGCCCCCGCCCGTGCGCATGAGGTCTGTCCGCCTGCCTACCCTCCTGGGGCTCCAGCGCAGTTTCCTTTTGGTTGTGCTTTTTCTTCTGGAGAGGGTTACACTGTTCTTTGAAATTGTGTGTTCTAAGTTTTCAAAGGTGGGAGCATAAAGCTAGTGGTACTGCTCTCACATGATTTTCACTCGCTGCTCTCTGCCTGGTCCACCTTTTTAATCCCTATTCATGCCAGTACTACTCCTTTTCACCTGGTCAGCCTGGCCCGGGGCTTTCTGTTTTATGAGAGTTCTAAAGGACAAGCTTCTGATGCGATTGCTCTTATGTAACTTTGCCTTCTGTTATAATAACTCATGCTATTTTTACTTTTTTTCTGTGTTCTACACTCTGGGCTTACTCTGTTCCATCTGCACATGTATGTGTGTGTATGTGTACAGTTACTAGGAGGAAAAAATGTGTGTAAGACTTTCAAAGAGACTCTGACACCCAGTAAGAGATGTGTCCACTATTAACCTCACAGTCAGTCCTCTGTGGGCAGTGTGTCTTTTCTCTGGTGATTCTACAGATCTCCGTCTTTGGAGTTTAGCAATTTCATTGCCAAGCAGGGTGAACTTCTTATTTATCTCATCCCAGACTCGTACAGTATTTCTTGAACCGGAGGGAATCGGTGTTCATCACTTCCAGGAGTTTCATGGTCATCAGCCGTGACAGCTGCTCTGCACCACGCCTCCCACTCTCCCCCTCGGGACCTGCCGACTGCTGCCCACTGCACCTCCCGGTCTGTCTTCTCCACCCCTTCGCAGGTGCACTCTGTCTGGGCTGCATCCTGAACACTTTCCTCTAAATCTTCCAGCTCACTAATTTCCTCTCCGTCTGTATCTCATCGGACAGTTAATCTGTTCAGAGTTTACTGCTAATGACTGAATTTCTCACGCCTGTAAATTCGACTTGGTTTTTCTCAGATCTGACTCATTTTTTTTTCGTAGGTCTTGCTCTTTTCAGTTCCGTTTTTTACGCTTAATCATTTCAAAAATACCGACTTTAGCCTCTGTCTGAGAGTTCCATTGTCTGAGGTTTTTGGAGTCCAGCTGCCCAGTCTGCGGTATCTGCGGGTTCCGGCTCGGAGCCCGTCTCCAGCAGCCCCTCCTCACCCGAAGATGTCCCGGGCAGCCCAGGCTTGGAGTCACGTTCTTCCAGTGTGGCACGTGCTGCTCCCAGGAACCCCAAAGACTGGCCTGGAGCCACTTTTCACGTTGATAGATTGTCTTTGTTTTCGAACTATGTTGTTAGTGTAAATTCAAACCCCAAGCCTGTTCGAGGTCAGGCTTGCGATTCTGACTCACCAGAGGGGGCTGTTTTGAGACCGAGAGAGGGAAGCTTCCAAGTCCCTTCCCTGTGCTGACAGGCAGATGCTTTTCGTTTCACCTTTCTGAGGGTAAAACTCTCGGAGGTTTCTGGCTTCATGTAGGGTTTCCAGTTCTAACTCCTGCCTTGAGTGAGGTCAAACCCTTACCTTCTGTTTCCAGGGAGACATTACAACCCAAGACTCTGGTTGAGAAGACCAGCAGGCTCCACCGGGAGAGCCCACAGGCTTACCACGGCTTTTCAGTTCCCTCTCCGTTTTTGATCCCTGGAGAGTGCCCTTATTTTCTTGCAAGCCGGTCAATGCATTTGAAAGGATATCTGTTACCTACTGAAAGGATTTTCTGATTATCTCAGCCCTTCTCAATGCTGAAAACAAAAATCAACTGCCCTGCAGGTTTGTATATATAAAACAAACCAGGATTGGGAGGGGGGGAGGCATGCCCTGGGGGATGCAGTGGAGCTGGGTGTGGCCATGAGGACCTTTTCTGTCATCTACATTCTGCTGCTTCTTATAAACCGAACACACATACTTACTGTCTATGTCTGTTCTGTATCTATGATTTCTTTTCCATGAAAAACTAAATCAAATGTAATCAAGTATCATTCTCCATGGTTACACAAGCACTATGTCAGTTACTCTTATACATTTCTCTAGTGTGTTCATTCCTCAAAAGCTGAGAAAAGAGAGAGGGAAAGGACCAGAGAGAAGGATGTGAGAACGGCACAGCACTCGTGGGGCCGGAGGAAGTCGCATGCCAGCAGCCTGCCCACCCCCCGCAGCCGCCCCTTCGAGCCCTTCCCGAGACCCCCAGGGGGACGCTGCGTGCCTTTACCTTCTCCTGGTACAGTTTGTGCAGCCACTGAGCCGCTTCCTTCTCGTCCAGCGGGATCTCCTCCAGAGGAAACCTCCTGTCGGACGGAGAAGACCGGGAGCAGAGTGAGTGACAGGATGACGGCGAACTGAAAGTGGGGAGAACCGGTGCATGGGGTTCCTCGCTGGCCTGCTTCTGCTAATCAGTCTCCCTCTGAATTTCCAAAAACACGTGAACATCAAAGTAACTTCTCCTCGGGCGTTCCCCCAGAGGCGGCCTGGGGCTCTCTGCAGGGCGGGCGCAGTGGCGAGCACTGCAGTGGCGGGGCCAGAGGCGTCTGCATTCAGAGGGCAGCGGAGGCATCTCACGGGGACCCAGGGAGCCGGGCAACGGGTGGGTTGCGCCCCCAGGGCCTCTGTGAAGGGTGGTCGTGTATTCGCTTCAGCAGGAGCTTTAGTCTCTCTTAATGGTTCACTCTTGGGAAATACTCATGACTCAGAGTCTCTCATTAGGCAAAGGAGATTGTGGACATCACAGAGAAAATCTACTTGCTTCAAATATGAAAAGCCATGGAGATTTGGAACCGTAATCTCAATGAACAAGCAGCTGACTTCGGTCAGGACCCTAACTTACTTGTACAACCGGTCACCAGCTGGATTACTGGCCCCAGGGGTGCAGGTGTCTACCCGGTAAGGTTAGAAGGACAAGAACCACTTTCCACCACGGCAACTGTCCTGCCTCCAGATGGCCAGCGCACACGTAAGCTAGCCGGTGCAACTGACCGGCAGGGTGCAGGCCCCCCCAGGACCCCGGCCGCCCGCCTCAGACAGGCCCGTGGTGAGAGAGGAGCCAGGTGAGATGTCCGTGGTCAGACACACATCCCCGTGCTTTAAGGTATCTCAAACACTGTGCTCTAAGAATGGAGAACTCCGGTTTATGTGGCTTATACCTGTATCTTGGCCACATTTGACTTTCTAGGCCTGCACATGTCAGATATTGCAGCCCCGGGGAGACTCCAGCACACGCTTGAGGGAAGGGACGGCCTGCGACCTCCTAGTAAACAAAACCAGTGTAACTTTGTGGACCCTGGAAGGTCTTGGGGATCTCCAGGAGGCCCCAGACCACACCTTGAGAACTGGCACTTAAAGGATTTGCCCCAGGCACCGACCAGTCCAGGAAGAAGCAAAGTTCCGGAGGGGTTCACCTACAGAAAGATGACTCAGTTTGACACCGAGTTTAAGGTGTCAAACTCGGCCAACTGCTCTCCCTGATTTACATCCATAGTCTGCATGCCACCCACAGGTCCTGTGTGTGTCTGTTAGATGCACCATGATATACGTGCAATAAGAATTTAAGATGAGACAAAAATAAATACAAAGATGAGCATCTATCTCCTGGACTTGACTCAGCCACTCTAAGGACACGGGCCAGCAGGAGCGCGGGACAGCCTCAGGCCACCGTCACCAAAGCCTGGGCCCTGACCAGTTACAGGGCCCCGGGAACTTCGCCAGCAGGCCCAGAGAACGAGGCAACCCACCCCCGCACCCCAACCTGGGCTGCAGAGCCTCAGCTTGCTGACAAGTACGTTTCAGGCTCCCCAGAATACTGCTTTTACTCAAGACCCAAAGGGTAAGTGACAAAAACAGTAAGTTGAGGCTTTAGAAGTTCTAAGAATGTATCTATTAACGTAAACTATAGATCTGTGTTTTCTGCACCAAAGGGGGGAATGAAGAGATGGAAACCCGAGTCCGCTCCAGCTGCAGTCTGCGTCTGTGTGGAGGCACAGTGCAGCCTGCAGGTGGCTGTGGGCATCCGCCTTGAGCTGGGCCTAGTGGCTTCCTTGGCTCCGCCCCCTGCCAGCCCCGCCCCCCAACCTCCAGAGACTTTCTGACCATGGTTACCCAGGAAAAGAGCAAGACCTGCCTCCAAGACCAACAAACACTGGACACAAAGCCCACCACTGCTGTCCCTGTCCTGGACCGCATCCCCATCCTAAACAGAGCCACAGCCAGCAGAGAGCTGACCTGGCTTTCCCGGGTCAGGCCCACCCAGGGCCCAGAGACATCACCCAGTCCCTGGTGGCCGCGCTAGGTCAGCCCCCCGCCAGGGGTTCTGGAGATCTAAGGGTGGGGGGGACCCTGGGCTCCCCGATCCCAGGATGGAATAAGAGGCTCTGTAGCTACTTTGAGCAGTCCACTGCGAACTTCAGAAGGAAAAACACATCCAGCTTATTATGTTCACGAAATTATTCCTGGAAATCTCCTACAGTGTGGCCAGAACCGGGTGGTATTTAAAAACAAAAGCAAGCAAGCAAACAAAAAACATTTACTGCCTCAAGCTCTCCCGACTGCCATGGAGAGGGCCTGTCCGAGCCTTCGCCAGTCACACTGACCGGGATGGTCGCCGAGTCGCCGGTAGTCACGGGGGCAGACAAGGGTGCTGATGCAGAGGGTTCCGTGTGGTTTACACACGACCAGGGAGGGACCTGCCTCCCCGGGGAACACCTGAATGACACCAGCAAGGTCAACCAGGATGACCCAGGCGGAGGCAGCCCTGGAAGTCCTGCCTGAGTTCTGTCTTGAGCTGGAGTCGAAGTCACAACACCGTTTTATTAACAGAGTAGTCCCCAGACTGTTTTACATTAAAATGATTTTTCTGGGTGGATGATCCTGAGGCCAAGAAACTGGGAGAGTCAGAGCGTGGCAGCGAGACATGCCGTTTGGGTGTGACCTTCTTGGTCACTGACCTTCCTCTTGTGCCTCCAAAATGGAGGTCGCTTTGCACGTGAAGTCGTGCCTGCATCTCAGGACAAAGCCCCGGGCTCTGCAGTGGACACCTGGACACCTCACTCCTGTCTCATCTCGCCGGCACCAGAAACCACTCGGGATGAAACCTAAAACGGACCCTCCTCCCAGACTCCTCTTCCTGCAGACACAGATCCCTTTAACCCTGGGGCTGAACTCGCCAGTGCCAACGCAAGTCACAAACATGCAGCTTCCAGCCGGAGGGTTCTGTGGGAGAGCCCACACCGCCAGCCTCTGAGCCGATCTGGTCCTGCCCTGGGGGGAAAGGCCAGTCCCCTTCGTCCGCCAGGCCACATGACCGCAGGCCCCAGGGGCCTACTGACCCCGCAAGGTGTGGGCACGCCACACGGGCTCCCAAGGAGGGGGGAGAGGGGGTGGCAGATGGCCCCCCTCATTCTGGCCTGGCAGTCTCCCAAAAAGGAATGAAACACGAAATTGAAACAACATGAGGGTCTCCCTTTGCATTTTCCCGTCCTCGGCTCTGGCAGACGACCCCTCAGGCACCCCTTGCCGACTGGGAGGCCTGGGGAAGATCCCACCTCTCTTGGCCCCTGGGGCAGGGTTTCAGCCCAGCCCGGCCCGGCCCAGCCCAGCCCAGCCCAGCCCAGCCCAGCCCTGCCTCGGGCTGAAGGGGGCCCCCCCACCTCTGCCACCCTGAGCGCATTTCCCGTGTCTCCACCAGCGCATGCCGGTGTGTCAGACACCCGGTTCTCTGGTCCCTCTACCTGCCCACCCCACCCTGCCTCTGGCCTCTTGCTTTGCATACAGTAAGCACTCAATACATGTACACTGAACAATTAATAGGAGTTGTTTCCAATAATCTGAGGGTGCTTTAAGGGCTCCACAGGGCCCTGCCTCAGACTGACTTCCCCTTCTTGGATTCTCGGGGTTCCTCGGGGCACAGAGCAGCTCTGCGTGGACCGGCTCCCACGTCCCTCCAGCAGGACAACCCTGAACATGGGCTTGCGGCCGGCGCAGTGGAACCTGAGGGGCTCAACCCTGGGGTGGCCCGGAGTGGGCGTCCCAGTGGGGCTGCGGTCGGCCGTGGCCCTGACCCTTCTGTCTGGGGCTGCCTCTGAGCCTCAGCCCTAACCTGAAAAGGGGACCACGGAGTGCCCCTCGGGCTGGGAACGCTGTCCTGGTCTCTCCTGTGGGGATCCTAGTCCCCGTGCAAATTTCAGCTCAGCCTCTTCCAAACAGCTCCTGTGCTCCTCCAGCAGGAGGGGGTCACCCCTCCCTGGACCATCTGGAACATTCTGCCTTCACCCCACAGCCACTCGCTCACTTTGTGCGACAGCCGGCGGTGCCCCTGTCTGTCCCATGTGTGTCCACCCTCGAGGGCGGGAACTTCGGCCGCCTGCACCCGGGGGCAGCCCGGGACGTGGAGGGGCACGTGTGGGGGCTGGGACAGCATGGGGGGGGCACCGAGCTCACCTCACACACATGTCCGCCTCGTATTTCTTCCCGTAGAGGATCCCCAGCAGGGACGGGTTCTTGTTTCTCCGGAAGTTCAGAGTGACGTCGTAGACGGCTGCGACTGTGGCGGGGGGGGGGGGGTGGTGGTGCAGGAGTGAGCCCGGAGCCGCCCGCCGCCCACCACCCCTCGCCCCTCGCCCCTCGCCCCTTGCCCCATGCAGAGCCCAGCAAGCTTTTCACAGGGGCTGTTTTCTCTCTGCTGATCCGATTCTCGCCTTTTAGTGGGGCGTTCGGCTGGTTTGCATCTAAACTACTTACGGCCGTGCACGCGTTTAAATCCACTCCGGCCACCCTCTACTCCTCCCGTCTGTCCTCTGCCCCTTTCCGTTCGCTTGCCGCCTTTTGGGTCACTTAAATGTGTATTTTTTTCCTTTGTAAGTTTCTCAGTTACATACTTTTTATTACTTTAGTTATTTTCCATGAACTAACATTTTTATCGCCTTGAAAACGATACAAGAATCTTCACATGTTAACTCCACGTACTTGGTTCTCCCTTTCCTGGCCTGTATTTTGCATGTAATTCACCCATGTGGTTTTTGACTGTTTTCGTTTCTGGCTTCACACGGAGCCCAGAGGACCGGTGTTTGCCGCCCCCCCCCCAGCTTTGGGCGGCCCAGGCCCTCACCTGTCCCGCGCAGGCACTGGACCGCGGTGGTGAAGCCCTTGGTGCGAGGCAGCAGGTGGTACTTGAGGGCGGGCAGCCCCTTGGAGGCGGCCACCTCCATGCTGACGCGGTGCTTCTTCTCCGTGAAGCGCGTGCCCTCGCAGTACAGGAGAAACTAGGGCACAGACACAGGGCCGTGGGCTCGGACGCCCCCCGTGCACGGGCTAACCCCACCGGCAGCTTGCCGCCCGATTGCAGGAAGGACAGCACCGCGACGGTGACGAGCACGCGGCATGTTTCAGGGCTGTGATCCGCACCCCGGCCACACGAATCCCCTCGCCGCACAGCTAACAGCACTGCGCTTATTCTCAAAGAAGGCAATAGAGAACTTTCCAGAAAGGAGGACACACGAAGGTCCCTGGGCAGCAGCCTTCCGGGCGGAGTGGCAAATACGTACGTGAGGTAGAAACGCTAAGGAAGGAGTCAGCTCTCAAAGGACTCTCAGAGACCAGGCAGGAGGAGCAGAGAGAGAGACAGGAGATTTGAACCAACTGACACCATTGATTCCGGGCAGGAGCCCATCAAACTCACCTGAGGGGCTGGAAAAGCCGCCCAAGCCCCCCAGGCCCTGGCTGCTGTGACAGGTGGGTGTCAAGTGCCCTGCGACTCTTCCGTATCCTGAAGGAGGAACTTGCCCAGAGCTTCAGGTCACTAGGGTTGGTGATGGAACCCCCTCTAAGGAAAACCCTCTCTGCAGAGGCAGCTCCTCAGCCAGGGCGCTGGACGGGCACCCACTCACCGCCCAAGGTGACCCCGCTCTGCTGAGCAGGGCCACAGCCCCACCTCCCCGCCCCGCTCCCGGCTGTGGTTCTCAGCCGGGGCGGCAGAAGTCGGCGCCCAGGCCCCGCTGTGAACCGGGACTCAGAGCTTCCTGCCGGCCTGGCCTTCCCACCCGTGACTCGGGTCGCTTTCACGTGTCCGAGGGGGACCCAGCCAGGGCGGCCTCCCCTGCCGGGGCGCACGTGCGCACACGGACTCACCCACATGTACTCGGGATAGTCGGCCAAGCGCTTCAGCCCTTCGATGACGGTGTCCCGGTCCTCCTCCCACTTCCTCTTGCAGAACACAATCTCCAGGAAGTACCACGTCCAGCCGATGAGGGGCACGAACAGCAGCTCCCTCTTGGCCAGGACTTTGGAGCTCTGGAGGCGGGAGGGGCGCAGGTAGTGCGCTGCAGGCCACGAGGCCCCCCGGCCGTCGTCCCAAGGACTGGCCCGGTGGGCGGTGACTGCACTGACCGCTGGGGCACCCTGACACTGAGTGTGGAGGGGAGACCCGGACCCCGAGCGTGGCACCGCTGGGACCAGCGTGGCCCAAGAGTGCAGGTGCACCTCCTGCAGAGGAGGGCCTGAGGCGCAGGCAGGCCTGGCAGAGGGCAGCGGGTGGGAATGCCAGGCTCAGGGTGTTAACACTGCATCGGGGTGCCTGGCTGCCCCGGAAGCCCTGGGGACTCACAGGACAATAGGTAAGGCTTAAATGGGAGGAAAGGCAGGAACATCCAACCCCAGGGGCACCCTGGGGCGGCTGAGGGCCACCTGCCATCCGAGCTGCCCTGGGTGAGTCATGAGCCTGGACCCCGAGCTCAGGGGGCCGGAGGCTAAAGCTGGAGGGGAGAAAACCCAGACCCCAGAGAGCCATGGCAACAGCTCCCCGGCCGACCCCCCCCCCCGCCCGCATCACTCACCCCCAGCACGCCGAACCGCTCACACATGGTCCACCCGCAGAGGAAGTCGATCTCGAAGTTGTGATTGAGGATGATGACCACGTGCTCCTTCCCCAAGCGGTCCATTGTGGCCTGGTCGGTGAACAGCGTGCACTCCGTGCAGGACCACCACTCCAGCAGCATGACCAGCTCTGCGGACACACAGAGGGCGGGACCTGGGTCGGCGGGGGCGGGGCCCGGGCAGGGAGCACAGGCCGGCCCCAGCTCTGACTCGGGCGGGGCTTCTCCAGTGTTTCATCCAGACCGGGCTTTTCTGCTAGAAATGCGTTTTGGCAGTTTACATTTAATAAAATAAGTTTTCCCAATGTATAATAAACTTCTCTAAGCAAAAAGTTAAGGGAGAAGGCAAATGGAACTTTCGGAAAGTGACAGAAGAAACAGGAAAACCAGCATTGTGGATGGTTATCTTGAGCCCGGTTACGATCCCCACATGAGCCGTGGTCTTAGGGACTACCACACATTCCATCCACGGGATGGGGGGTTGTGGGCGCACGGCCAGCCCCGGGGCCCCCGTGGGCAGCGGCCGCAGCTGTGCGGGAGCCACTGCCAGCCAGGTCACACCCACCACGGCCAGGTGTCCCGAGAAGGGCGACCTCACCCTCCAGGAAGCGCAGTGTCGAGGCTCAGGGTCGCCAGAGCACAGCCCCACCGTCTTTGTGGGAGACCCTGGCCCAACCCATGTCCCAGGAGCCCCAGCCCTTGGGGATGGGGCCAGGGAATGCTGGCGGGGCAGGATGCCCCACGCCCAGAGACAGCACGTGACATTAATGCCATTTAACAGCTTTCAGTCTGCCCATCTGACAGGTGAAGACTGATTTCGTATGGACAAACACACAGTGACACACACATCTACACACAGATATTCGATCCAGAGAGATAAGTGTCTTTTCCTTTCAGAGACAGGCAAGCGAAATGACAGGCCACCTGAGGGAGGAGTCACAACCCTCTGGGGAGGGGTGCCAGGGGACAGCAGAACAGGTCCGGCCAGGTACCGGCAGCTTTGAAGGCTGCTGATGGCAGGCTGAGTTTGTGAATGTTTCCAGATCCCAAAGCACAGCGCCAAACCACACGTGAAACTGCCACCGCGGCGGGTCCCTGTGCTCAGGTGTCCAAATGTCACAAGGTCCACCCCAATGGTGAGTTTGGGGTTGGGCACCTTTCCGCATATCCCCTGCATGAAGGAACCCCCCAGCCCTCCTGAGCACCTTCCAGCCTGCAAGCAGCCCCCCGCCATGTGCACAGGCGGTACTCACGGCTCCAGAGCGAGTAGGCGAGGCGGCAGTTCAGCCTGCGGTAAAGCTGCTTGTTCACGGGCCAGAGGACGAGTGTGCATAGCTGGATGAAGTTGATGACCAGCCCGCTCACCACAAAGACGAACCCGATGAGGAGGTGCACCACGAACTGGGTCTTCAGGTAGGCGAGCAGGCCCATGGTCGCTACTCAGTAGCGAGTGCAGGGTCCTTCACTGAGAACAGCTGTCCTGGAAGGACAGGGACAGCGGTCAGGAGGTGCGCCGGGACCCGGGGGCCAGAGCTGCAGGCAGAACAGAAACCCACGGTCCCCACACAAGAGCCCCGGATCTGCAGCGCCCCAGAACGAGTGGGTTCAGGAGCTTTCCTCCTGCAGGTGACATATAGGTCACACAGGGGACCTGACACATGTCACTTAATACATGTATCACGTATGCTCATACCACACACATGCACTGCACCACACACACACACCATATCACGCACACACACTCAAACCAAACACACCCCCCATGTGTATAAGGAAGGAAAGACTAGAAGAAATACACCCAAATATTAATAGCAATTATCTCTAGGTAAAGGCATTATGGGTAATTTTTTTCAGCATCTAATTTAAAAGATTAAAACTGCACATGAAATCTCTATAAAAACTTGTAACTGCCTTTTAATTCCCAGGCTGTTGTGCACTTCTTTAAGCTAAAAGGTTTTTGTTTTTGTTTTTAACATAAAAATAGCCGCTTCCCCAAGAACTTAAACCGCTTTTTCTCCTCTTTTCTTCAATGTGCACTTCTTAGTTCCAGGCAGCGCTAACGTTTCATGGTTGGACCTGTTCTGGGAGGGAGCTGCCCAGTCCCCACCCCCTGCCCCAGGAGAGAAACTCAGGAAGCTGTGATTCAACCCAGGCAAGTGCAGAGCCGGCAGTGGGCAGCGTGGTGGCCGCCCTGCTGTGAGCCCTGCAGACCTGGTCCTTGCGGGCCGGGGTGGGTGCAGAGCTGGCCCTGGAGACAGCTGCACGGGCCCCCTCAGCTCCCCAGGGTGGGCGCTGTGGCACTTTGGGAGCCGAGCACAGCAGGGACCGGCCACCCCACCACTTGGGGCCTGTGCCTGGAGAACAAACTGCAGAAAGGGCCGTGGGATTTTCAAGGCTGAGTCACACCGGGGTCCCCTGTGCAGCTGGCTCAGGGGGAAGCAGCGGCCACGGGAGGACCCCGGCGCAGGAGGGAGCGGAGACCTGTGCCAGGTGAGGGAGCCACAGCGGAAGCTGGCCCTCCAGGCCCAGCCATGCCTTCAGACGCCTGCAGCCTGGGAGCACCCCACCCACCCAGCCAGGACACGGAGGTGAGGAAGGTGCAGTGTTGTCCTGCACCTCCATGCGTGGGGCCATCGGTTACGCAGCCTCAGAAAACCCATTCACCACTCTGACGACGCGTGTGACCAATACACTGCTGTGAGCAAAGGGAAAACCACCATGGGGATGGCAAAGGCACTTCCTGGGTGCGTGACCACACTCTGGGGCCACTGCACACACTTCCCACGCACGCGACCTGCCTAGCTGACAGGGGAGCACGCGGAAGCACAGAGGGGTGAGGCGGCGTGCTCAGGGTCACACAGTGAGCAGCGGGAGTTTCCCGCCCCGGGCCTGGAATGCGGGAGTCCCGGGTCCAGCGGCCCCCACAGGTCAAGCCCGTGGGGCTGCGCGGGAGCCTCGATACGGACCCACGGTGCGGTGTGGTGTGGGGCCAGCCCGGAGCTCCGTGATGGCTGCCAGCCTCCCGGGCGACCCACGATCACCACCTGCCCGTCCAGGCGCAAGTGGAAACCAGGCTGGATCCCAGCTTCTTCCACACGTGACCGCAGCTGCCCTCGGCTGTTTTTGTCGGATCACATGCTCCCATGTCACCACGCAGCACCGTGAGGAACCAAATATACTCCACGTGGCAACAGGCAAGTTGAGGAGAAAGATGAGACGGGCCTGCCCGCTGCCCGCTGGGCCCCCTGGCACCTGGGAGTGAGCCTGGCCGCAGGCTCTCGCTCTGGCCGGCCCTCTTCCCATACCTTTTCCGGCTGCAGACCACCTGCCTGGGCTGTCGACGCCCCAGACGTGGGGTCTTTGACGGCATCAGTCGCTGTGGGCCCCCCATCCTGAGGCACATCAGCCGGTTTCAGTTCAGGAGGCCTCCCCCCCGCCCACCCACCCCACGAGAGCACCCAGTGCCAACCACATGCCTGGACGTCACCTTCTCGGGGCCACCACCTGGCCCCGCTGCGCCAGATCACCTCGACAACGTGCCACACATGCCAACTTCCCGGACCTTCGGCCAGAGCAGGCCCAGCCTCCTTCCCCTGCAGAGGGGCTGCGGTGCAATGATGTCCTGCTCCCCACCCACTCCGCCCACGCCCGCTTCCCTCCCCGCCGAGGCCACCGGCTGGCAGCGCAGGACGGCATCGGGCAGCTGCTCGACTCCGCAGCCCCCAAGAGTGCTGGCTTGTGTACTCCTTACAATGATCTTTTTAAATGGATGGATCAACCAAAATTATTTACTTAGCATTATACACAATAAAGGCCCCCAAATATGTATTTAGTATCATAAGCAACGAGGACTGCACTAGATGTAACCAGTGTTAACAAGAGACACATCTAATGCTGCATCTCAGCCCTTAACTTTATCTTTTATTTTTAAAATTTTTTTTACTGCATTAAAATGACTTTTAACACACCACAAACACAATGCTTCAAAACTGCAGCAACACACGTGGCCATTCACCTGACGGCCAGGGTAAGCTTTCGGAGAGCACATCCCATTCCGGCACAGACAGAGCGCCTCCACCGCAGGCCGAGGCCCCGCCCCTGCCCCGCCCCTGCCCCGCCCCTCACCGCCTCGAGGGAACTACTGTCATTCCTTAAAGTCTTCTCCCCCAGGCACAATGGTGTCACGCCTTATTTTTCTGAACTTCACTCTTCCGTGATTTGCTGCTTGTTCAATCTTGTTTCTAGAATCCCTCTGTGTGGCCCTCCGCGTGGCCATGGGCCCTGGGGCTCCTGTGGGTTGCAGGAGGGGAGCCCGGGGTGGGGATGGCCCCAGTGGAGCCCAGGTCTCACAGGGACAGTGGGCTGTCTCTGGCCTCTGGCCTCTGCTGTGAGGGACGTGCTGTTGGGGCGCTCTGCGTGCGCTGTGGGGATAGACCTCAGACCGCAATCACGGGCGACAGACTGTGCCCGTGTGGACTTTCCTAGATGGTGCCGAGCCGTTTCTCTGTAGACTCCAACACCCACTGCCACCAGGGCATGCGACACTCGGGAGGCCAGGCTCGAGTCCGACCGCGTGTAAAATGGCATCATACAATGCTACTGATTCGGATTTTCCTGATGATCGTGATGTCATAAACCCTATATGCAGAAGCGTGGGCTCTAACCTCCCTGCACTGCAGATGGGGAAACTGAGGCCCTGCCCCTCAAGACAGGTGAGGCCGCGACAGGCCCAGGGCCACAAGCTGCTCCTGACGTGTGTGTCTGGTGCGCGAAGACAAGGGTTCCCTCGAGAAAAGGGCGAGAGCCCAGCTCGCCGCCTTCCCCCGTCACCGTGACCGCACAGGACAGCCTGGGCGAGCGCCCGGGGCCTCGGAGGACACTGCTGTTCCTGGTACCCGGGGAGAGGAGCCCGGTCAGGACCTGGCAGGCGGCACGGCCGGCCCAGCCGTTCGCATGGCGCCTTCTCGTGAAAGCCCAGGCGCTGCCGAAACCCGAGCCCGTCTCCGAGTCTCTGCAGCAGATAATAGGCTTAGACGGCTCCAGGGGCCTGGCATCTGCGCAACCTGGTCCCAAGGCCGAGCTGGCTGCCTCCCAGGTTTGGCGGCCCCTGTACAAGCCGCCAGGACCCACCTTCTCAGGGCAGGGGGCAAGCTGCACGCTCTCCCTCCCCAGAGAGGGGTACAGAGAGGTGTCACCCTCCTCAGGGACAGGCTGCTGGCTACTCAGGGACAGGCTGCTGGCTACTCAGGGACGGGGAGTGAGCCAGGTGGCTCGGTGAGGCCATGCTAAAAATAGTTCCACAGCAGGTAAGACTCCCAGAGCAGCAACCCGGCCCTAACCAGACCGTCCTCCCAGCTCGAGGGCCCCTGAGAAGCGGGGGGCCCCCAGAAGTCCTGATGCTCTGTCCCTCCAGGCGCTTCATCCAGGTCTGTGCTTGTGGCCCCTGCCACCCGGCTGCTCCTGCTCAGGCCGAACAGCGACCGGGAGAGCGGGGAGCCCAGAACACCATGGATGGGCCCCACCACTGTCAGCAGGGGGCCCCGCCCACTGGCATGGCTCTGCCCGGGCCACCCTCAGGCCCGAGTCCGGCACCTCGTGAGGGGTGAACTGTGTCCTCCCAAAAGATACACTCGGGTCCTAACCCCAGAACCTCAGCACGGGGCTGTAGGTGGAAATACGCTCCTCACAAAGGGCACCACGTTAAATGAGGTCACCGGGGTGGGCTCTAATCCCACACGACAGCCGTCCTTATAAGGAGAGATTAGGACACAGACGCACAGAGGGACGGCTGTGTGAGGACACGGAGAAGACTACAAGCCAGGGACAGAGTCCTCCGGAGGAACGGGCCCTGTGACACCCTGATCTAAGACTCCAGCCTCCAGGCTGAGAGGACCCATTCCTGTGGCCCGAGTCCCCCACGTGTGGCCCTGGCGCAGCAGCAGCCCAGCAAACGAATACACTTCTGGTGAACACGCGGGCCTCCTGCACATGCCCTTCCCACGTCCCACTGGGGACTTGGCCCTGCTGCCCAGGTGGCCCAGCGGCTGCCAGTGAACCCCGGCCAGGCCTCGCTGTGCTGGAGGGCAGATCCCACCCCCTGCCTCAGAGTCTATCAGCAGATGCCCACGGGGCCCTCTCTGCCCGGCCCTGGTCCCTCTGTCCCTCTCCCTCAAGAATTAGCCAGGCAGATGGTCTGACCTTCAGGTACCCTCCAAGGATCTTTGTGGAAAACACGGCTTTCCAACAAAGCCTTTGCACAGAAACGGAAATCGAAGTCACAGTTCCACCCCCCTCCGCTCTACCCAGAGTGGTGGCCAGGCATCTCCGTGTCTTTGCTCTCTGAAGAGAAGCTGATGACTTTCTCTGCTCCATGTGGAGGGTGGCTCTTTCATTTACACACAAGGTCAATGTCAGTCCTTCCATCTGGGTGCCATTCACGCCTCTACTGACAGTGCCCCAACCACACAGCTGGGGGAGCAC